GCGGGCACGTGGTGTCCTGAGGCTCGCGAGGGGAAAATCAGTATGGTAATGTATGGAGGTCAATTTCCGCCGAGAGAAAAAAAAAATTAGTGTTAAATAAAAAAGGAAATACAAATGATGTTTTGGATGTCATACTATACTATAACTTTTTTATGATATTTTGGATGTCATACTATACTATGACTTTTTTATGATATTTTGGATGTCATACTATACTATGACTTTTTTATGATAATTTGGATGTCATACAATACTATGACTTTTTTATGATATTTTGGATGTCATTCTATACTATGACTTTTTTAATGATACTTTGGGAGTCAGACTATACTATGACATTTTAATGATATTTTGTATGTCATACTTTACTACGACCTTTTTTATGATATTTTGGATGTCATACTATACTATGACTTTTTTTAATCATATTTTAGATGTCATACTATACTATACCTTTTTTATGATATTTTGGATGTCATACTATACTATAACTTTTTATGATATTTTGGATGTCATACTACACTATGACTTTTTTTATAATATTTTGGATGGCATACTATACAATGACTTTTTTAAAATCATATTTTAGATGTCATACTATACAATAACTTTTTTTTTATGATATTTTGGATGTCATACTATACTATACCTTTTTTATGATATTTTGAATGTCATACTATACTATGACTTTTTTTAATCATATTTTGGATGTCATACTATACTATGACTTTTTTAATCATATTTTGGATGTCATACTATACTATGACTTTTTTATGATAATTTGGATGTCATACAATACTATGACTTTTTTATGATATTTTGGATGTCATTCTATACTATGACTTTTTTAATGATACTTTGGGAGTCAGACTATACTATGACATTTTAATGATATTTTGTATGTCATACTTTACTACGACTTTTTTTATGATATTTTGGATGTCATACCATACTATGACTTTTTTATGATATTTTCGATGTCATACTATACTATGACTTTTTTATGAGATTTTGGATGCCATACAATACTATGACTTTTTAATGATATTTTGGATATCATACTATACTATGACTTTTTTATGATATTTTGGATGTCATATTATATTATGACATTTTTATGATATTTTGGATGTCATACTATACTATAACTTTTTTATGATATTTTGGATGTCATACTATGCTATGACTTTTGTTTATGATATTTCGGATGTCATACAATACTATGACTTTTTTAATGATATTTTGGATGTCATACTATACTATGACTTTTTTATGATATTTTGGATGTCATATTATACTATGACTTTTTTATGATATTTTCAATGTCATACTATACTATGACATTTTAATGATATTTTGGATGTCATACTATACTATGACATTTTTATGATATTTTCGATGTCATACTATACTATGACTTTTTTTTTTCAAATTTCTTTATTGATTTTCTGCAGACAGTACAGAAAGGTACATCCGTTTCAAATAACACCAGAGTGTCTGCTTTAGAATGAAAGAAAACCCCGAAATAAACCCCACCACCCCACCCAACAACCCATGTCAGTTGCGGCCACAGCAAACATAATATGAGTTAAGCATAAAATATTACAATAATAAGGAAATGAAAATAAACAAACAGACAAATATAAATTGATAAATAAATAAAAGAAATAAAGGGGGGGGGGCTCTCTCTCTCTTTCTGTTTAGGAGTTTTCAACATCATCTGGAGTAACAGTAAGGTTATTGCTAATATAGGCCAGCAGGGGGTCCCAGGTTTTATGAAATGTTGTCAGCGATCCCCTCTGTGAGAACCTTAACTTCTCTAACTGTAGAGATTGTAAAATGTCACGTATCCAACTGTTGTGAGTTGGGGGAGAGACATGTTTCCATTTGAGGAGGATGGTACGACTGGCCAGCAGGGTGGTAAAGGCAATGACACGCTGTGCAGTAATGGGCAGATTTTTAGTCGGAGGGAGACCAAACAGAGCAGTTAGAGGATTCAGTTCTAAATTAATGTTGAGGGCCTGTTTGAAAGTTTGGAATATGTTGAACCAAAAGTTAGTTAGCTTCGGGCACGACCAGAGCATATGTGAGTGGTCAGCTGGAGACTGTTTACAGCGGTTACAAGCATCACTGTGGTTGGGATATATCTTAGCAAGTTTAGCGTTGGTGAAATGGGCTCTATGAAGCACCTTTCACTGTAATAGGCCGTGCCTGGCACATATAGACGAAGAGTGGATCAGTTTTAAAATGTTCTCCCATTGGTCATCAGTAATGACCACCCCCAATTCCTGTTCCCATGCGTTTTTAATTGTTACGTTTAGGACTGGACTCAGAAGTGCAATCTTATTGTAGATAACATATATCAGTCGCTTTTGTTGTAGATTAAGAGAGAGTAATTGGTCTATTTCAGCTTCTGGGTGGCGGTTTGGGAAATGTGGTAACTGCTTTTGAATAAAGTGTCTCATTTGAAGGTACCTGAAAAAGTGGTTATTGGGAAAGCCATATTTAACTGACAGACATGCAAAGGATGAGAAAACACCTTCATCATACAGGTCTTTAAGTGCTCTGAGGCCCTTATCTGACCATATGCGGAAAGTAGGGTCGGAGCAGGAGGGGAGGAATACATGGTTGTTCAGAACTGGTGCAAGAATTGAAGTCCTATGCAGGCCATGGTGCTTCCTGAATTGAATCCAAATTTTAATTGTATTGGTGACAACTGGGTTAAGTGAGACCTTATTGGCACTTATTGGCAATTGTGAGCAAATCAAAGAATGCAAAGAACAGGAAGAGGATGATATCTCAGTGTGAGACCAGGTTGGACAAGATCCTGTATTTTCACTGAGTAGCCAGTATAGAAGTTTATTGATATTGCAGGCCCAAAAGTAGTGACTAAAATTTGGCAGTGCTAGTCCCCCTTCAGGTTTAGAAAGTTGAAGAATATGTTTCCTAATACGAGCTGGTTTATTATGCCAAATGAAAGCGTTAATTTGTTGGTCAAGATTAACAAAAAAGGATGCTTNTAGAAAGTTGAAGAATATGTTTCCTAATACGAGCTGGTTTATTATGCCAAATGAAAGCGTTAATTTGTTGGTCAAGATTAACAAAAAAGGATGCTTTAAGACAAATTGGGGTGTGCTGGAAAAGATACAAAAATTTTGGAATGATCACCATCTTAATAAGATTGACTCGGCCTGCAAGGGATAAGCGAAGGGCAGCCCATCTGGACAAGCCTGACTTACATTTATCGAATAACGGCTGGAAGTTCTTCAGAAAAAGGTCCCTGAAGGAACTGGTGACAAACACCCCCAAATATCAGAATCCCTATTCTGCTATTTTAAAGGGGAATATGGATTGTGGAAGTGATCTTGCAAATTGTTAACAAAAAAATAGCTCGCTTTTCTGAATGTTCAGTTTGTACCCTGATAGGCACCCAAACTGATCCAGAATTGACAAAACTGGGGGGACTGACGAGGTGGGGTTCGAGATAAACAACAGAAGGTCATCAGCATATAAGGAGAGTTTATGGACTAGGCCAAAGCAAGTGATGCCCTCAAACTCATCCTGGCTTCTAAGCCAGATTGCTAGCGGCTCGATGGCTAAGTTAAACAGCAGGGGAGAGAGCGGACAACCCTGCCGGGTCCCACGTTTGTCCAGTATGCTGAGTGGATTACTATGACTTTTTAATGATATTTTGGATGTCATATTATACTATGACTATTTTATGATATTTTGGATGTCATACTATACTATGACTTTTTTATGATATTTTGGATGTCATACTTAACTACAACTTTTTTATGATATTTTGGATGTTATACTATACTATGACTTTTTAATGATATTTTGGATGTCATATTATACTATGACTATTTTATGATATTTTGGATGTCATACTATGCTATGACTTTTTTATGATATTTTGGATGTCATACTATACTATGACTTTTTTTTAAGACATTTTGGATGTCATACTATACTTTTTAATGATATTTTGGATGTCATATTATACTATGACTATTTTATGATATTTTGGATGTCATACTATGCTATGACTTTTTATGATGTTTTGGATGTCATACTATACTGTGAATGTTTTATGATATTTTGGATGATACTATACTTTTTAATATTTTGAATGTCATACTATGACTATTTTATGATATTTTGGATGTCATACTATGCTATGACTTTTTATGATGTTTTGGGTGTCATACTATACTGTGAATGTTTTATATTTTGGATGTCATACTATACTATGACTTTTTTTTAAGACATTTTGGATGTCATACTATACTTTTTAATATTTTGGATGTCATATTATACTATGACTATTTTATGATATTTTGGATGTCATACTATGCTATGACTTTTTTATGATGTTTTGGATGTCATACTATACTGTGAATGTTTTATGATGTTTGGATTTCATACTAAAGTATGACTTTTTTTATGTGATACTATGACTTTTTTGTGGTATTTTGGATATCACACTATACTATGACTTTTTTTTAAGACATTTTGGATGTCATACTATACCATGTCTTTTTTATGATGTTTGGATTTCATACTAAAGTATGACTTTTTTATGTGATACTATACTATGACTTTTTGTGGTATTTTGGATATCACACTATACTATGACTTTTTTTTAAGACATTTTGGATGTCATACTATACCATGTCTTTTTTACGATGTTTGGATTTCATACTAAGGTATGACTTTTTTTATGTGATACTATACTATGACTTTTTTGTGGTATTTTGGATGTCACACTATACCATGACTTTTTTTTTTGACATTTTGGATGTCATACTATACTATGTCTTTTTTATGATGTTTTAGATTTCATACTAAAGTATGACCTTTTAATTATATTTTGGATGTCACAATCTATTAAATATAAGGCTTGACAAAAAAGATAAAAAATTTTCGTGCCAAGTAATTGCACTTCTGCATGATTACAGGGTAAGGATTTGGATACTAAGCACTGACAATACAACACCATTAAACTTGGGTTTAATTACATCAAATGATGTGTAGTGTCCATATATGCTTGGTTTTCAGGAACCTGCATATTAAGTGCCAAGTCAGATATGAGAGCACTCAGAAGTCTAAATTTTCCAGTCGTGATGAATGCTCTTTACACGTAGACCCCAATCATATCTCCATTGAGTGTTTACTTTTCATTCTCAGGGCTATAAGGCTATAATTACCTATGAAGAGATCTATAACAGACAAGGTCATCTATAATGCAGGCACAGAAGCATCAAAAACAGCTACATTTTATCTTAAATTTAATATTTACCACACTACACAGATACATATTACATACAGAGAGGCTTGTGTCAGATGACAATAGCAGAGAACTCATTTGTGTCCATGAAGTTATGACTTCTGTCAGCACTGATTTGCTTCAAAATGTCCAAGAGTTCCATCTTCAGAGCCACAAGTATCACACTGCTGTCCCCTCTGTCCTCTGTCTCTCTTGTTCCTGCTTGCGGAAATAGTCTTTGTTAAGCACGACGTCCCTCTGTAAAGGTAAGGTCGGCTCCTCAACCGCAACGCTGCCTACTGCTTTCTTGTGCTGGGCCAGCAGCATGGCACGGAGTAGGGGAGGGTAGGGGACGTGGCGCACAGGTGGCTCAGGGAGCGGCTCAAATTCCTTAAACTGCTGCTCTAAGTGTTTGGGAATCAGGCGCCAGTCGTGGTACATCACCTTGTCCACCTCTTTGACCTCGCTCTCCTTTTTTCCTGCCAAAAGACAAAATTAAATAAAGTTACTTCAGGCAATTTGTTTGTAGAATAATTAGGACTTGTTGTTTACTATTATGCTTTATTATTAAACAATTAAAAACATCTCAGTAAAGGCAGAAATTCACACATGGAGTGGTCTAGCTGATGTCCATAAAACTGGACGGTACAATTACTGAAAGTCTAATCTCTCAAGACAGATTCTGCAATCTACATTGTAGAATCTGTTGGCAGCCCTGTGTGAAAGATGACTAGGGGGGGGGGGGGGCTTTGAGTCTGAACGATGCTGCGCTTTAGCCAATCACAATGGAGGGGGCGCGGCCGAGACGTGCAGGTGTCCCCAGGAAATGTGTACCTACAGAAACAGCAAGCTCCGCGTCCATAGCGACCGCTCCAGTAATGCCGTCTCGTCAACGTGAATTTTTTTTTTTTTTTCCAGCGGATGTCTTAGTTACAACGTGATTGAGCTAACTGGAGTAGTTTCATGTCGTATCCGGCAACGGGAGGCTTTTAACAGATGACGTCCTGATGTTAGCTTTGCTAACTGTCCCTGTCAGCTGCAGCCACTGATGCTTTCTAGACAAAGTGATTTCCCATAACTGAATAAATACCACACATAGCAACACAAAACTGTTTTGCTAGCTCAATCATGTTGTAACTAAGATATTCGCTGGAAAAAATATTTTATTCACGGACCGTTTATTGAGTTATTACCTTATTTTTATACAATCTATGGTTATAGACAACGCTAATGGCTAACGTTAACAGCTAACAGTTAGCCCAGCTAATGTACAATAACCATATTAATTACGTGCACACAGAAATAGTAACGTTTGTTCAGTCATTGTGTTTATAGACTTAACAAACATCAGATTAGTCTACATGATGATATAGTGACGTGAAAAATGTGATATATAGCTAAACTCTACTGGTTTTCTACCCGAAGTATTTGTAAACAACACGGCAATTCCCTGGGGGCACCGCCGGAAGTGAAGGACGTGAGGCCCCTTCACTTCCGGTTAGTCGAAAAACTCCGGGCTGTGCCTCCAGAGGTAAAGGAGGAATTTTTTTATTTTTTTTTAACTGATGGATTTCCAGATTGCTGAAAGTCAAACTGGAACTGTCACTGTTCAGCAATCAGTCATGAATAAATCTGAAGCAGCAACTGCTTTGTAGTCCACATTTTAATAAACTTACATCACAATTCGTCGAATAAAAATTCTGATAAAGACATGTTTGTTTGTTGATGCTCTGTGCATCTTTATTGAATCATCAATAAAAAAATACCTTGTTTTATAAAAAAACAACTGATAAAAAAATATATATATATATAATTCAAAACAAATTCAAGCCCTCCTTGCAGTATTTATTTACTTTTTTTCATTACTCTCTTATCATCACATACTCACAACAATACATGTATTATTTATTTAAGCTAGGCAAAAACTATATTTATAATTATTATTATTATTACTACAACATTTTAAAATTATCTTACACAATTATTACAGTTTTTAAGCACCCGTTCTAGGTCATTGCCTTGTTTGTTTGTTTTTAACTTAACTTAACTTGTTTTTTAAATTTTCTATTTTTAATAATTTCTTGCTAATTTTTTTGGGTCATTTCTTCTTTCGTTGCTCATTGCCTTCTTTCCATGTTTGTGAAAGAAATCATGCCAATTTGCTCATGTTCAAAGGGTTAAATGACATGACATCAATGTCTGTCATAGTAGTTACAGTAACAGATAAATGTGAGATAAATGTAGACCCTGGTTTCAATTCAAATAAACTGCGATCTTACCTTTGTAGGTGAGGATCCCCCATGCTTTGCCATGATCCATGTTCTAGGAAACCAAAGAATCAGATGTCATTCAGTTGAACACTTAAAATGACAACATGCAGACTCGACACTGAGTGCATGCATGGATGTGGCCCTCACCTCAGATGTGTAGTCCACCTTGATCTTGGTGATCTGCCAGTAGCTGGGCTCCTTGTGGTCCTCCAGCCAGGACTTGCGGGTAAAGAGACGCCCCACTCCGAACATCCTCATGCCTGCCAGCAGGGAGAAGAGGCGACTCTCCCTGCGGACATCCTGCCAGGCCATCACAGGCAGCATCTTCCCAGTGAGAGGCCGCTTCATCGTGTCATAGTCCAGGGCGTACTTCTGGGACTCCCGGGGCCGGGACTTCAGCTCCCGGTACGCCCGGATCTTCCGAGCCATTTCTGCAATGGGGCGAAGCTGCTTCTTCTTCACCATGACTGCGTGATGGGCAGCAGCTTCTGTACAACAACTCACTGATACACAGCGGTCAGCGTTTGTCCTGCAAGAGATTAAAGTCATGAAGCTATAACGTTACATCTGAACGTAGCAGCAGAAACTATGTCAACCTGTCAGCATGGACCCTCAGTGGAGATCAATAGTTATTACAGCCCTGATGTGACAAGGCTAACTTAACCTGAGTCTGTTAGCTAGCGTTACATGCTAAAACCGTTATAAAATAGTTTCGTACTTACACCGACTCATATATTTTGATTAACTAATGCCTAACTATCGATACTGTTTTTACTCTGCAAATATCTCATTTAAAATTACCTGAATTTCCCCTGGTTAGCAGAATTAATTCAACTTGACCTCCACAAACGAGGTACACAACTTCCGCTTATTTGGTCCGACCGGAAATAGTTCCCCATGAACTGCCAGTGCACTTTTGTTCCGCATGAGGTAAATAAAGTAGACTTCCGGTAGCACATTGATCATTATAAGAGGTGCCGAGTTAATAGATAACAATGGATATTTAATAAAGATTTTATTTATAATGTCTAAGTACCAATTAAACCAGTTTTCTACTGCATTCATGGAGTTTTATTATTAAATTATGATAGTCTTAGGCCTTGTGCAAATTTTAATTATTATTTTTTAATTCAAACATGTATATTTGATATGAATTGCAGGTGTTATTTTTGTACACTTGTCAATTAAGTGTAGCCAGGATGTTTTAAGTGATTTAAGGAACTTTATGACTTGAAAACATGTGACTGTTATAAAACTTAATCATTTCCTTTTTATGTTTTATTTTGACCACAAAATACATAGAAGTTAATTGTCATTAAGTTATTTATTTCACTTGGGAAATGTTAAATTTATACAGCAAAATGGATTAACTCCAGCCTATATATTGTTACTCCAATATTTTGTGTAAATTGACCCACACTTATTTGGGAAATTTGACATCTCAAAATTTAACAGGGTTCCTACTATAGCTTAAGACAAGTTACATTTCAGGTATTTAAAACTTTTTAAATGTCACTTAGAATGAAATCTGAAAAATTTTACAATAACCAAAATTGAAGACAAAAAAAAAGAACCAACATCAATTACTTAATGTGACCTTTTTTTCTCGTGGTAGAAGTGAAGATTGAGCAGAACCTGAAGAGACCTGGCTTTTGATGTCTTTTTTTGTGTGTGTATAAAATAAAATAAAATACGCAGCACCTCGTGTGCATTGTACTGAATTGTTTCCCTTTTTTGTTTTTATTTTGACCACACAATACATAAAAGGTTATTTGGAATTAAGTTATTTATTTCACTTGGTAAATGTTATATTCATAAAGCAAATGGTCAGATTACAGCCTAAATATTGTTACTCCAATATTCTGTGCAAAATGACCCATACTTATCAATTATTTGATCATACATATTTGACATGTTGAAGTTTAGAAGGGTTCCTAAAGCCTAAGGCAAGTTATATTTAAGACTTTTAGATTTTTCAAATGCCACTTAGAATGAAATTAAGACAAATTTTACAATAACTAAAATTGAAGTAAAAAAAAGAAAAGAAAAAGAACAAACATAATTTTTTTTTTTTGTCTCGTGGCAGAAACAAGGGTAGACCAGAACCTGTTTTCTTTGCATAAAATAAAATAAAATACACAGAGCCGTATGCTTGTATGCATTGCCTAATACGAAATCCCACTTACCATATCTTTTTTAAAGACTTTTTAAAGATTTATTTAAAATATTTTAACACCAATTAAGGCCTTTTTTTTTTGAGATTCAACGCTTCTGTAGACTCTTCAAGGATCTGAGGGAACCCTGTTAAAATATCCTTAGTACCAGTTTCCTTGGTAACCAATAAGCACATTCACTCCTTTGTGCATATTTAGCATTCATTTTATTTTCAGCTGAAAATCATGCTGATAAGTTATACAGAAAAAGGCAAGTAAAGGCCTTCACACACAGTATTATTAATATGACATAGAAGAAACACTTAGAATTTTTCCTATTTACAGTACAACAGTAAGAAAAAGTGCTTGGATGCATCAATGTGAAGACAAGTACTGTGAATTAAGACAAGAAAAAAACTACATCTGCTGGGCAACAAGTAACCCCTTGGTGGTTATATCACTAAATCTAAAGAATCTGACAGGTTGAAGTGTGTCATGTCACATTACTCATGACTCATGATCATGGCCCTCTGGTACCTTCACTGCTGTTGTATCAGTGCTTCCATCATGACATCCTGAAACACACTCCTTCTGAAAACCATCATCACATTAGATGCTTGTGTTGCATAGTACCTTAAATCTTTGTGTACGTCTACTTAAACCAAGACCCACGAGGAGTGAACATGATCACAGACTGGTGACTGAGGCAGCAGCTGGCAGACTGCATAACTTCAACACCTTGGTCAAACACTATTTTAAGTTGTTATAATTTAATACTCCAAAGAGACTAAAAATAAGAGTTATTTACATATCTGACCCAGGGGTAATGTCCCCCTCTTCAGTCATGTATTATCAATTAATACTTGAACTGATCTTGACACCATTCAGCCCCTGAAGGCTTGAAAACTGGCTGTAAGATGTTTGTTTCAGGAAAACAAGCAAAACATTCAAAGAAATTTGCAAACCACTCCTGCAACATAACCAACCTCTCTAACGTCTTTTGTGAACTGTGTTTTGAGACTTGTTTTAAAAAACATTATTATTAGAAACACACTCAGCAGAGAGCTGAGAGACAGATGATGCTACAGAAGCAGAACAATACTGAATGTTGTTTTCGGCTGTGAAAACCTCACATCATCAAATTCAAGCTGGTGTTGTCCTTTTATGCAGACACAAACAACTTTTTACAACCAACTTTTACACCAATAGGAGCCAACTGTTTGATACCAAAAGGATTTAGAATGGAGTATGACCTAAATGAATTACAGTAAAGAGGAGTTGGTAAAAGGAAGTAATGGGACAAGGCCGTTGGAAAACCAAAAGAACATACTTGCATAAACAGATCAGTACAAAAAAAAAAATAAACTGCTCATAATCTCAAAGTTTTTCAATCAAAGAAACTAACTCTTTAAAAAGTTCTAAAAAACAATAAAGTGTAACAGGGATGAAAAGTTACTTTAAATGTGCGGCAGTCTCTTCTGGGTACTTGTCTAATGATCAGATTTAAAAGAGCTACACTAAATAACAATGTATACTGCTTACATCTTCTTTTTTTTAGAAAAGAGGAACTCCATAGTTTCTATGAACAAGTAGCATAATATTTCAACAGGATACTTTTAAAGGCTGGTGACAGATGGATGTGGTAATAAATGTAACAAATATTTGACTTGTAACTTCTTTTCCTCAAAAAACAAAAAACATCTAAGGAGGAATCAAAGGTGTGTGAGTTGTTTGGAGATGACAGCTGTGCCATGAAAGACAACAAGGATTTTTTTTCATTTTTGGAGGACTAAAAGCTGCAAAGTACATTCAGGTTCATTTCACCTCCCTATAAAATTTCTTAAAGGTATACTATGCAGGATTTCCCCCAAAACAATGTATAGACTCATACAAGAATAATACCTGTCAATCATTATATATGACCCACTAAAAGTGTGTCTGAAGAGCCTCTGCCCTCTGCCTGCATTTTACCATTTTCTTCTGATTTTGTTGTGTTTGAGACGTTCCTAAACGAAGCACACAGGTAAGGAGGGTCCTTTAAAAAAAAAAAAAAAAGAAAAGTACCATACAGGAGCCAGACTGTAAGCAGCACACATCCAAGAGGAAGCTACGAAAATTGCTGACACAGTACTGAAAAAAAAAAAAAGCCCAAAGGCATAGCAAGGCCAAACACATTGGAGAAATCCATTTCTGGCAGAAATCTAATTATTTTTGACCCATACCACGATTTTTTCCTAACCTTAAAGAAAAAGTTCAAAGTCCCAAAGTATCATTTGTGTATCATTTACACACCCTGTTGTATGTTTAATACATGAAGAAGACTTTGTTTTTCTCACATGCTTTCACGGTGAATGAAGAATCCAAAAACTTGGAAAATTCTCAAAGAATTGGAGTAAAAGCTAAAATTAACAACAAAACTATATCAAAACACCCTTTTTAAAGGTTTAAAGGTTACAGTCACACAATAACACAAACTAACAGATTGAGGCAGTTGTAGACCAGCAGCTCTCATGTTCAGCAAGGTAAGAGTACTGGTTTTGAAAATGGAGTCTGGCTTTGAAGAGAACATAGATAAGTATAACTTTCAGTTCCCTATCAGAAAGGGCTGTCTGTTTGAGAAGTATTGAGCATACAACTGGATGAGTGAGACTTGGATTACAGTGTACGGGTTGTGTGAGAGTATGTAACAGATAATTTGAGACAGTTTTGCTGTTGTTAAACGAGGCCCCCTATAACTTTCATTCATCATCTCTTTTTGGATTCTTCATTTAACATCGAGGCCTGTGAGAAAAACAAAGATGTCATCACAAATTTAAAGTAACAAGGAGTGAATAATTGATATACAAATGATCACTTGGGGAGTAAAATGTTAATTAACCAACAAATCCCTTTCTGGCAAAATGCCCTCTGTGCAAACTTCTCCCAACAGCAGGCCAAACGCAAAGCGGACAAAGCCGTGGTTGGCTTTCACTTTCGCTGCTGGTACTGTTTACAAACAGTAGCCGACAATTCCTGCATAGTATACCTTTAAGGTTTTAATATGTCCAGACATTTTTTTGTTTAAGAGCTGTAACCTGCAAGTAAGACATAAAGAATACTCTATGACCCATGCATGACGTGTTGCTTCCTGCACTCAGTGGGACCACGGTGTCCCACTGATTCACTTTTGCAACCTAACAGAAAACTGCAGATGCCAGTAAAACAGTAACAAATCACTTTGAGAATGCATTAATAGCATTGAGGCTTAAAACAATATACATTACTTGCATACAGGTTGAAAACACAGAAAATATAGTCTCTCATTTTTTAAATCCCCTTTTTGCAAATATACCATGATGACCACCAAAATTTGGCCATACTTGACTTCAGTGTTACACTGTACAGTCCTGCACCGTTTCATTAATCCCCATACATGAATGGCAACGCATTATGCTAGCTAACAAAATAACACCACATCTTTTCACTTGTTAGTGAAGCTGGTTTGGATACTGAATTTGTGATGATGAGCATGAAGACATCTGAATGGCATGAGATAAGATCACAGTAAAAGCGTGCAGGCAGAAACACTGCCCTCACAGTTTTCCACCTACGTACCTCTCTGATCCTGGTTATTTTCTTCACTACTGACAACACTGATGTTGAGGAAAGTTTGAGGCAGGTAGGAAACACTAGATTAGATGCCAAAGGACATTAATGTCTGCCAGTGTTTAACAGGAGGTAGGAGTCGAACTGTCCAGTCATGTCCAGCGGCATCTCTTCCTCTGACAGGCTTCGGGGTCGGA